ACCGGTGGCACCGCAGATGACCACGATGTCATTGTTGTGAATGGCTTCCATGATCTTCTGTTCTTCCGCAACGACAGGTAATTGCAGACGAGCAGTCTGGATCTCCGGGTCCCTTGTTACAGCGACGCCATATGCCTTCCGGCCCGTGTCCTTGGTGGGTTGAAGCTCCAGTGGAAGGGGGTCCTGTTCTGCGGGACGGGGTTGAAAGTTCGCTGGCCGTGGTATGTCGAGTATCGACGGTCCAGATGTTGGTACGAATCCTAACGCCTCGTTTCTTTGTTGAGTTGCCCACGCCTTAAATGCAGAGGACTTCTCTTTCCGCTGTGACCTCTCTTCCTCGTTGGGCTCTTCATCTTCCTCCTCGTCATCTTCCGATCCTTCACCGTCGGAGTCCTCTTCTTCTGAGCTCGATCCTGTCGCGCCGCTTCCTTGACTCCCGGCCTCGTCTTCAGAGTCTTCGTCCTCAGAGCTATCAGTGGGGAGACCGCCATCGTCGTCGCTGCTAAAGCCTCCGAACGAATCCGCGTCCGACCCGACACGCTCTGGTTGGAGCAAGGAGACCTTGGTTTTCACACCACCACGCTTTTGCCTCTTTGCAATAACCGGCTTTCCCGAGTCATCCGTTTCCAGGGGTCGTTTTAGACCAGCGCCAACTGTCTTTGGGAGACTTGCTACCGGCGGTTGAGTCTTCTGCGCCTCATCCTTTCCGGCTTCTGGTCTCCTGATTGCGGGCACCGGTCTTTCCTCCTCATCGTCGCTGGGTTGGCTCGAAGCTTCCTCCCGCTCCTCATACAGCAGCGATTTCACTTCCTCTTCGTCAGCCAACCCCGCCTCGCGCGCCCGCAGAACCCGGCTCAGCGCCTCTCGTTTGGTTTCCTTTCCCTGCCCTAGAGCACGACTGCTGGAAAACAAGCTCGTGTCGATCTTGGTGCCGGCCAACTTCACCAGCAGCTCCCGGTTCTCGTCCTTCTTGAGCTTGTTCTCAATGTACTTCTCCAGCCGCTTGGCCTTCTTGCTGTTGACTTTGACGCCATCCTGGTTCAGCTGTGCCCTGAGCTCGGCAGCCTGCTTCTTCACCTCTGACTGCTCGGCCGGGATGATTTCCAGGGCGTTGGGGTCCTGTTGCTCGCCATCGTTTCCTTTGCTTTGCGCCTTTTGGCGTGCCAGCACCTTGTGCTTTCTCTGCCGTGGGACGAACTTCTTCGGCATTTTCAGAGATCTGTATCCAGAGTTACCCCTAGTTTGCAGCTCACTTCAATGCCGGTTCGCCTCATGGAGTGAGCTCTTCGACGAAGAATAAATTCCTGACCGCCCGGCAGAAAATGCGGACCCTGATCGTTAGCGCGGGGCGACGGCCCCACTAAATGGCCTTGCCCGTGGCGCTCTGACGCGATCTCCACTTTTCACGTAGGCAGCTTGAGCGACCACCAGACCTTCAACGTCAAGACCATCAACCTCATCTGTACTCAGCGCAACCTTTACTTCGCTGCAAGGTGCCTGATATCCATGGCGGAGGTAGACCAAAGGAACGAGGGCTTCCCGGCCCCTTCAAAGCGGGCCACTGGCTTGGTCAATGGTGTCGAGACAGAAGTCAGCTCGATCAGCTTCTCGGACAAGATCATGGTCACCATCTCCCAGGACGGCCGTCTAGCACAATGGGTTTGCATTAACTCCGATCTCGTATCTCTCCACATGCTAAAATCCTCCAGGTCCAAGTGCCGCTTTCAGCTCCGTCAGCAGCGTCGGTGGATATGTCGCTTCCTGGCGCATTCAGCTCTCTTCCTGCCAGTCACTTGACACCCACTACGGTCCTCGGTGCTGGAGGTGAGGAGCGCGAAACTGTGGGACAGCTCTATGCCGCTCAACTTGCCAGCCACTTGACTTTGAGGGATCCTGACGACAAGAGGACTCTGGTCCTCGGTCTGGGGATGAAGAATGTCGACACTGCCAGAGAAGCCTTCTTTGACATTCTCGAGCTTGTTCAACAGGTTATATGATCTTCGTCTGCTTCACGATTGCCTATCAAAATGGTATTGGAGATGGGCGATATTTGAGCACCAGGATGAATGAGCCGCGCGAAATCCTCGCCCACATGTGATCCGCGCCGGTCTGCTTGACGCAATACGCTCTATTTCAGCCGGTACGCAGAACTTCAACTGTCAAAAGACTGACGCAGATGGTCGAGAAAGGCCAGGTGTTCCGTCCCCGAGGAACTAGGACGATTGCTGTTCTTGGAGGTGGACGACTATCGGGTCTTGTTGCTATTGCACTCCAATTGGCGGTACGCACTTTCGCTCGGCAACTGTCGTCCTACAGACATGTCAAACCGCGTCTAGCAGCCTAGCTGATACGATCATACGATAAGATCTAAGACACTGCGTCTGCGGCGTCTGTATCAGGAGGCGCGAAATGGAAACCCTTTTGGCCCCCAAATTCCCAATGGTCTTGTCAGTGCAACAGGCTGAGACGAACCAAATTAACTCTGTTCAGCACCTCCGTTTTTATCGCACTACTGCAGGGTACTTTGACCCTGGAATCTACATACAAGCACCCTGAAGTCCAGTGGGGACATTTTCGGTCGACTCGCACTTGATTGCTTGCGAGCCTTCTCTTTACGCAGGCTGTTCCGTTCTGTCGCACAAATCATCCCGTTCGACTTCAGCTTTGCAATCTAGGCATTGCGAGTTCCCATACTGTCCATATGCAGGAACTGGTTACTATCCGTAGCACAGCATGTCAATTCCAGTGCTCATTCAGGCTGTGTCTGCAGCCCTGCCAGCCCTGCCAGCCCTTGTCCAGCTCGGTTTCTAAGCCTGGGGTGGCTGCGCTCCTTGGATCCTCATTTCTACCGGCGGAACCAATCCAATGAAGTATGGTCCGCGCATTGACGATCCCACTCAGCCCACTGTACACAAGACGGTCGCGATAATTCGATGCTCAACGTCGAAGGATCGCGGCCCTGGTCGCTGCGCCCGGGAAAAGATCTGCATTTGCTTCTCTGGAGTCCCGGCCGGTGTTAAGCTGGACGTATCGGGTTACATTGTTACAGCGTCGTGCCTTAGTTCTCACGCATAATGTGCCATAGTCCGCGGAAGGATCTGTCATCTTACTGTGAGCAGGGAGCACCATGGTCAAGTCGCACGAGGAACCGTGTAGGCAGTGATGTCGCGACTCCCGGTCGGTGCTCTCTTTTCGACTTCTGTTTCATCACGCCGTCTCCTCTTCCTTCTCCAATTTATTTCCTCTGCCGTACGTAGTAGTAGAATTTGATTGCTTCTCCTTCCGCCAGATCGCGGCTACGCGATACTACGTTCGCGATGGATAACCGCCAGCAGTTCCCCAATTATGACTACAGCACCCTCGAGGTGGCACAGCAACAGGACGGAGATCATACCCAAGCTCCTCCTCAACAGCAGGACTACTCGCAACATGGCTACGCGCACGGCGGCTACCCTGAGCAAGCATATCAGACCGACCCGCGCAAGTACTCCCCACAACCATATGAGGGCCACAACCTCCCACAGGTCGTCGACCAAACATATCCAGAGGTAGCACCGAAACCCGAGGGGCCGGAGGTCGCGCCGAAAGGAGACTACGGAGGGTACGGGGAGCACCAACATAACCAGCATCCGGTCGTTCCACCCGAGGAAAGGAGGATATGGGGCTTGAAGCGGAAAACTTTCTTCATAGTGCTGGCAATCGCACTACTGGTTATAATCGGAGCTGTCGTAGGTGGCGCCGTCGGAGGCACAGTGGGAAAGAATGGAGAAAAGAAAGGCGACAACCCTAATCCAGGGACAGGAGGCGGCGGCGGTGGAGGCGGCTCATCACCAGGTAACACGACGAACAACTCCCCCGTCCTCGGAACGTCCAGGATCACCGCCATCAACTGGACGGACTCGAGCAACGTCGAATACAACGCCGTCTTCTGGCAAGCAAAGACAAACGACCTGATGATGTCGCTGTGGGACTCAACGAACAACACCTGGTCCCAGGTCAACATCACCGACAAAATGACCGACATCTCCATCAGCGTAGCCGCAAAGCCGGGAACTCCCCTAGCGGCAGCCGCCCGCGGATACCCCTGGACCGAGTCAACCCTCAAGCACGTCGCCGGCGACTTCGGCATCGCCCTCTTCTACCTGTCCCCCGCAAACAACATCCTGGAGATCTACAGCGAGGACCCGCGCGGCGCGTCCTGGGCCCTGGGCGACCTGACCACCTCCTCGACGACGGCCATAAAGGCGGCGCCCGACACGCAGCTGAGCGCCTGGTGGGGCCTGTGCGAGAGGAACTGCTCCGGGTCGATCCTGCTCGTCTACGAGGACGACAGCCAGACGCTGCGGCTGGCCAACAGCAGCACCTGGAACACCACGCCCGTGCTGCGCAACATCGCCTCGGGCGCCAGTCTGGCCATCACGGCGTGCTCGGGCAACCGGGGGAAGGACGGGCCCGCGGCGAATGCCGTCCGCCTGTACTACGACTCGTCGAACAAGCTGTCGGAGCTGATGTGGTCGCCCTGGGGGCCGTGGTACTATGGTGCGTTTTTCTCTTCTCGTCCTTCCCCCGCTTTGTCCTCAAGAGATACTAAACTGTTACAGGCTCCGATCTCGCGACCGGGATCCCTCCCACCCCGCCTCAGGTAGCGGCGATAGGCTTCAACAACGCGGCGGACCTGGACGCCGGACCCATCAACCTGCTCGTGCTCGGCAACCAGGCCAACGGGAGCGTGTTCGCGAATTACTGGGACAACAGCACCTGGCACAACGCCAGCACGCCGATATTGCAGGGCAAGGTGCTGACCAACTTCACCTCGGTGTCGCTGTTCCAGAGCCAGGAGATCAAGTTCTTCGGCCTGACCAACGACAGCGAGATCCACTCGTACATCATCGACAGGAAAAATCCGCTGTCTTGGACGCATGACCAGGCTATCATAACGGGCTGAAGGGGAAGGAAGCAGGTGAAGAATAGTTGGCAAAAAAAGACGAAGAAATGTCGAAAGGTCCTGCCCGGATTCGAACCGGGGTTACCGGAAGTTCCGATATCAGAATCCGATGTGATAACCAGCTACACTACAGAACCTGTTGTGGGGGATGCATGTCGGCGCTGGGCGGGCCAGGGTACATATAGGGCATTGATGTTAGCGGGCGTTCGTTTCTGGGAGATTCCCCCTGTTTATTCGTTACATAATAGTTCGATATTGGTCCGCTTGACACACTGCCTTGGGCTGGCTCCATGACTTTGTGCCTCACGTAAGAGGAGCTTCTTAGCTTGTCGAGTTCTACACACACGAGTTTGGTGCTGATTACATGTCGACGAGCGCTAGCGCTATGCTAACAGCGCCGGCCAAAAAAAAAAAGAGAGCCATGCAGCCGGAGCCGCGAGTCATGCCCCATCCACGCAGCAAAATGTGATCTTGGCAGGGGTCGAACCTGCAACCTCCTGATTCGTAGTCAGACGCTCTGCCATTGAGCCACAAGACCTTGTGGAGAAGAGATGATGAAGATGTCTTCTCGATGGGTGGAGCGACGGCGTCGAGGGTTTATGTACGGCGGTTGGGCGGTGCATGCTTCGAGTCCGTACATACACAAGGGGTCGTCCATACGAACACGAACACCAACAGACGACTTCCCTTGTCGGCACCACTCCTTGTAAAGGTCTTTTGGAAGGTGTAGACTCCGGACACACCATGCCTGTGGTAGAACGCTGCAGATATGTTGGTATTGGAACACCCAAATAGAATACGCCACTCAACCCGTCCGATATCTCGTAAAGACTGTCAAATGTCACCTCGACCTAGCCGGTACCTCCACCTCCTCGTCACTATCGTCCATAAACCCTTCTTCAAGACTGCAAGACCATGTTAGCAACACTTCACTTCAATGCGTGCACCACACCAAGACAGGGCATAGCACTCACTCCCTACTCAGCCTCCGCACATCATCCCTCGCACCCCGTCCATCCCTCCCCGCCTCCCGCCTTCCCGCATTGACATGTCCCAGCTCCTCGCCATCCTCAAAGTCGAGCCCCTCCTCCTCGTCCTCCGCACTGACGACATCCGTCCTCCTCCGCCACGCCGACGGCACAATAAACCGCCCCGCGACAGACTGTATCCTCGCGCGGAGGCCCGATGTGTGGGAGGATAAACTGTCGAGGCTGGGTGCGAGGGGGAGCGGGTTGTAGCTGTAGCGGGTGCGGTAGCGCGTCCAGAGGGGGAGGACGAGGTAGGTGAGCACGAGGTAGAGGATGAGGGATATTAGGGCGGGTATTATCAGTGTCTGGAGGAGATCAGGGTTAGTAGAGAGACATAATGCGCCGTGGACGTAGGTCGTACCTTTGCGACGGAGAAGGTGCTGCCCATTTTGGCTGGAGAGTCGACGCTGGGCGAGGCGTCTTGCTTAAAATGTCGACGGCGAGATGAAGCCGCTTTCGGAGTGGTGTCGGGTCGGAAGAGGCTGGAATCTGCAGTAGGAATAGGACCGATGCGCCGTCCAGGCGAGTGGTCGTGTCGGTCGCCGTTTCTCGAGATAAGGTTGACGAGGCTCTGACGAAACGTGGCTCGGGCTGACCCGCGATTAGAACCCCAGATCCGTCCCATTACGTATGCCGACCCTAAACTGAACCCTAACCCTGCCAGCCATGGCATGCCAGCCGCGTCTCTGATGCTAGGGCATTGAAGAAAATCAGAACAAATATCAGGTGTGTATTTGACATTAAGAAATCATTTCTATTCGTCCACTATCTAGCCAGACACATGTTCACCTCCCATCACCGCCCTAATCATGCCCCCCCGCCCCCAAGACCCCGACAATCCGCCTTACCTCCTCGACATCAACCTCCTCACCACTCCCCGGACCACTCAAACAACTCGAATGATACACCACCCTCGCCCCCTCCACCCCCCTCAGCTCCTCATAGATACCCATTACATTCCCACCCCTAATCCCCCCACCAACAACAACCTCCAACCCCCCACCAGCCAGCCGCACAATCCTCCCCACCACAGCCAGATTATCCCGCGCATTGCCCACTCCCCCTGAAGTCAACAGCCCCCCGAACCCAAGCCCCTTCACAACCTCCAGCATCTCCTCCACCCCGGGCCCGCCTTCAGACCCGATAGCTTCATCAAACGCCCTGTGAAAAACAACAGGAAAGGGCCTCGCCCAGCCGAGGACGGACGTGCAGAGGTCTGCGTCGATGGACCAGCCTCCGCCTCCTCCTCCTCCCTCGGGAGTTGGGGTCAGGGCGCCGAAGACGAAGCCGTCGCCTCTCGGGTGGTTTAGGATGTCTTTGAGTTCTGTGATGGAGGTTTGTATCTGCCCTCTTTCCTGATCAGAGTAATGAAAATCCCCTCCGCGGGGACGGACCATGACGCGCAAGGGTACCGGGAAGGGTAAGCTGTCTAGGTCGGAGGATACCATCCGCACGAGGGAGAGAGAGGGGGTCGTGCCGCCTGCGGCGTAGGAGCCCGGGGCGTTGAGCTCGATGCGGCGGGCGCCGGCGGTGATGGCTGGGAGGAGGGAGGGGCGGTTGAAGAGGGGGATTTCGAGGATGGGAGGCGGTGGTGGGCTGGGAGGTGATGGAGATGGCATGTTGTTTGGACTGGGGGAGTGGTTGTTGGAGGGGTGTTTATTTTTGCTCATCAAGTTGCGGATTGAGGCTTGTGGTGTGTCGGGCGGAGATAATTATTTCGAGGCAGAGGTAAGCAATTCCAGCGGGAAGTTGACGTTGCTTTGAGTCCAACTCTCTCGCTTTTAGATTGTCGCAGTTCAACGCTTTCAACTTCATGCTTTTGCAGCATAAGAATCACAATCATAGTCACAAACACAGACAAAAAGTCGTAAATCGAGAGGCATCATCATTTCTTTAAGATAGCTATGGAAACTCTGCAGCAGAACATCTTGCTGCATGAACAACAAGCGGAGACTGTGCTCCTTTATCAATCCTCGAGATACGCAGATCTGATCTGGTTGGTCGCTCAGGTATTGACTCATCTTTGGCGAAAGACGTGGTCGGGCGATTCTGTGGTCGAGTACCAGAATCAGTATCTTGAACGGACATCACCTCTGTCTCTACCTTCAGGCCGCTGGTGGTCAGGATCAGGGTATGTTTAGGCTTGATGTGCTCGAGCTTTCCGATGCGAGTGCCCACTGGCTCGAAGTGGCCGGGTGAGGCATAGATCTTGGTCAGCAAGTTGTGTGCCAACTGACCATTGCCGAGCCTGCCCTGACTGTGGCCGATCGGAAGACGGAGCTGCTGCTCGGTCTCCGTGTCATTGATGTCTCCCAGGGACCAACGGTGAAACTAATTCTTTGTTTGGGCACTTAAGCTGATGATAGTCTGGCGAAGCTTGAGCTGATTATGCTCTACAGCTCTGGCGAAGCTGAGCTGATGATGGTCTGACGAACCGCGATGATGAAGTCCTGTCCTTTGGTTGTGGTGGCAAACAGCCGTGATTGGCATTCGGGTCGCCCTCAACTTTCCTATCCAGCCGTGTGGTGTTATAGAAGAACATAGGAAGCTTGGATATCGTCAGCACCAGGACATGGAACGCGTTTTGGCGAGAGATGCTCACCTGCTGTCGTACACTGTTGCACATCCATAGGACCCAGCCGCCAACAAAGGCGTCAAAGCTTGCCGTCCACAGGTCTTGGTCTGAAGGTTTTCGGTGCCGTAAAGGTCGAAGTATCCGTCTCTTAACTGTCAGATATTTGGCGAGCAAGACTGAGGCGCCTTTCTGAAGGATGAGTTCCGTTACGACGGCAGGTACGAATGCGGTTGTGCCAAACGGTGTTGCAGTGCCCTCTAGTGCTGCTCCGGTACTGAATCTGCTGCCCCTTCTTCCTGCGTCTGTACTGATCTCGGGATGGCTCTGAGACAGCAGGAGTCGGTGGCCACCACGAAGACTGTGGTGTTGTCGGGGTCCCGAAACTGATCATCGGCGTCATGGGGCCACTAGCACCCGGTATCGCGGTCACGGATGACCTTGACTTGGATGTTCTCGCCAAGCACGGTCTGGAAGATCTGCTTGATGAATTCTGCCTCCGTAGATGAAATCGTGATCACCGTCCTAGCCTTTTTCCTTTGCCTCAACTTCGTTTCCCATCTCCTTTTCATCTCTTCCTGATTCCGAGCCACAATATCCCTGAGCTCCCTTAAGACCCTTGCAGCACCCGGTATTGCGGTCACGGATGACCTTGACCTAGACGTTCTCTATCTATGATCAGCATGTAGGATTACCAATGGCTAGGTCGAGGAGGTTGCGTACCTTTCCGTCAATGTTTGGGTCCGTACGATATGCAAGGAGCATACCCATGATTCATCGACAGATGTCGATATCCGGGTAATCTTTGGTCTTGCCGGCATCAAAGCATTCCGGGATTGCCGCTTTCTTTCCTCCGGGTATTCCATAAATCTGAGAGATCTCGTCGCGACAGTCTTGGAGTGGTCATCCGCTTGCGTCTCGGTTGACTCAACTACTCTTCCTGAAAAGTCCATTACGCCGGTGTGCTGATAAGTGTCCAAGAAGAGCCGCTCGAATAGATCCAAAGAGACAAACGCGCGAGTAGATCAAAAAGACACGCTCGTGTAAAAGAGGGGGAAAGGGGTTAGGTCCTATGTCGTCTGTATCTGCTTGGTTGACGATGTATGATACCGAGAGGATGGGTATAGAATGGGAAGACCGTGGAAGCCTCCGTCAAAGGCGTGACTCGTGGCTTTCGCTTCTTTCTTCGTTATAGTAGGTTGACGAAGTTTTCGTTCATGCCTTGCATCATTGACCTGGATGTGCTACCCAAGCACGATCTAGAAGATCTGCTTGACGAAGTTTTCGTTCATCCTTCTAGACTTTTGATAGACATCAACCTGCTATCGTTGTGCTAGAGAAACAACCCTTACTCCCATAAATCCCCAACCTCCGTTAGCCCAGTCCAGGTCCGGAAGCCAACTGGCGTGAGGAACAACACCCAATCCTTCTTCTCGCTGTACATCAAGGCGAGGTAGTAGAGGAGCGAACATCGCAAACTCCTACACCTCCGAGACTATGGGACAGAAGGTACGGGGTTCTAGGCAGGGTTCTGCAG